GCGTCTTTTGCCACGACGCCTCGTACATCTGCGCCCGTCTCCTGGGGCAGATCGGCATAGACAGCACGACCGGTATGAATGACATGGCGCCACTTCTTGTGCAGCTGTATCCAGTCCCTAACCTGGTCCAGATCGTTCGACTCGACCTGGCTAAGATCCCACTCGATACCCATGTGTCCAAGCAGCGCCACGCCCGCGCGCAAATGCAGGCCATGCGTTCGGCCGGTGGTATGACTGTGTGCTGGACCCATATGCGCGCCCATGAGCTCGTTGGGCACGATCAGGTTGGTGTATTTTTGGATGGTGAGTCGCTCGAGCGGGTCGGTGCAATCACTCGTCCAAATTCGATCCGTCCGTTCGAGGATACCAAAGTCCACCCGAGCCCCACCGGAAGCACAACTCTCGATCTCCAACCCACCATGACGCTGCTTGAGCATATCCATCAGCCTGTACACTGCGAGGGTATTGTTGTGAACAGCAGCACGTCCATCCGCACCCCCGGCTTCGAGCAAATCCCGGTTATGGTCCCACTTGAGATACCGGATCATGGGATGCTGCGTCAGGATATCATCCAAGCACTTGAGGATGTACTCGAACGCTGCACGATTCGAGAGATCCAAAACGTACTGGCTGCGTCCAGCAACCGGCAAACGGTTCGGATCGGGTCGCAAGATCCAGTCGGGATGGTTTCGGCCGACGTCCGAATCGAGGTTCACCATCTCGGGCTCCACCCACAGCCCACACTGCATGCCGAGCTTGTCTACATGGTCCCATAGCGGCTGCAAACCCTCGGGCCAAACGGTACGATCCACGAACCAGTCTCCCAAACCAGCCGTATCATCCCGTCGACCGTTGAACCAGCCATCGTCGAGAACAAACCGCTCGGCGCCGACAGAGGCCGCAGCATCAGCGATCGCCTTGAGCCGGTCAAGGCGCATGTCAAAGTACACGGCCTCCCACGTGTTGATCGTCACAGGTCGAGGCGCGGCGGGATGGTGCGTGCGCTGTCGCAGGTGCTCATGGAATCGGTGCGAGAGCTGCGAGAGCCCTTGACCCCACGAACCAAGCGCCACAGGGGTCGTGTACGTCTCACCGGGAAGCAGCGTGATCTCTCCCGGTTCGAGAAGCTCGCCTGCCTGGAGGAAGGATGAATAGCTCGGACCGCGTTCGGCCGTGATGCGGTGGTTGCCACTCCAGGCGAGATGCACAGCATGCACCAGGCCGCGCTCGAATCCGAAACCCGGCGTACCGGCCGCCACGACAAGGGTGGCGTCGGCACCTGGTCGTCCGCGTCGCGACTCGCGCACATGCCTGCCCACCGTGAAGCCATGGCGCTGCGGCTGACGCTCGCGAAGATGTCGACCGGTGGTGTCCAGGATTTCGCGCGCCGACGCGGGCACCGGGAACGACACGGCCACATCGTGGACCTGCAGCCCCTCCCTGCCGTCCGTGTTGGAAATGCTGATCTGCTGGCTCAGCAATCCACTCGGAGTCACCTCGACCGCGATCTTGACCTGTACGCCGTCCGGGTCGCTAGCATGCACCGCGATGCAGCTGTCTGTCTTGTCGATGCTATCGACCGCGAGGTTGAAGCAGAACTTGCCCGTAGAGGTGCGCAGCATCGTGGCGCCGGGAGTGCCCTGCCATCCCTGCGACGCCAGAGGCAGCAGACTCAGTCGCGGCGAGCGTTGGAGGCCACCGCTAACCGCTTGGGTGCGCGTCACCAGCGCGACGCTCTCGAGCACCGCCTGCGAAGCGTTCTTGATCTCGGCACCCCAGTACGCGATGATGGGCATCTCGCTGCCGATGCAGTCAAGCACCACACTGGTGCCTCCGCTGCACAGGTGGATGATCGAGTTGGTTGCGTCCATGGTGTTGGTCCAATCGGAGTATGGAGTGCGGAAGGAAAGACGGCAACAGGATCCGCAGGCTAAATGCCTCCCCTCGAAGCGGATGCGGTGCCCCGCAACAGACTGTTGCCGCACGGACCTCGCTTGGAAGACATGGGGACATGACGCTCGTGGTGGATCACGCTGCTTGTGGCCGTACACAAGTGACTCGCCACACCAACGCCGGCCAAATGCGACCGAACACCGGCTGCATTTCGCCGAGATCGGCACGCTGACGGAACGACGGATCACGACGAACGCCGAATGCCGATGTGCGAACACTGCCAAGGCATCCAGAGCCTCGGCATGTTGAGCGGCTAACTCGGCTTGTGTATGGAGGGGGCAACGGGGTCAAGTCCGAGATGGGCCGTGATCCGTAGTCCGTGCTGCGCACACTGCAAAGCGTACACAGTACACCGTAGACCGTGGTCTTTAGTCCGTGGTCCGTAGTCCGTAGTCCGTAGTCCGCGGCTGAAAGTCCGACAGGGTCGGGACGAACGAACAGAACACCTTTACGCTGGGGCTCTGCTATGGGAGCCAGGTGAAGGCCGGCCAGTGCCGCGATTCAAGCGCCGCTAGGCGCATGATGTTGATCGCAAGGCTCCATCAGTGCATTGCGAGGAAACGCTTGGGGGCCTGCCTCGCTTGCCTCGCTTGGGTCGCGTGGGGCAGTTTGCGCACCGAGGTATGCCCGCCTTTGGCTGCTGGGCGCGGCTCGCGTACCTCAGGGCAGCCTCGCGTGCCAAAACCCCGCGCAACTTCGCCTGCGCCCGTCCAAGACCGCATGACACTTGGCCCGGCCGAAGCTCGGTCGAGTTGGGTCTTGGCCTGCTTTGCGCGCATACTTCCCCCACGCCAAAGGCCCATCCCGCTATAACGCTTTGCCACTCGCACCAACCCCGCACGCTTTCGACCAATCAGCCGTGCTTGCCTCCAACCATGGTGCTCGCGTAAAGCATAGCCGGCAGCGAATGCATGCCGGAATGCATGCTTCGTTGCCGAAGCGAAGCCTCCCACTTGCTGCACACACATTCGAGGCACCCAAAGCGCCTTCGTCCGATGTGGGGTGGAGCGGGGAAGTATGGGGATCATGCAACATGACCATGCCTACGGCTTGAGAACATCGGCATCACATCAACATATAAGCTCGCGTCGGAATCGTCTTGGTACTCATCGATCCAGCATCCTCTTCAACATTCTCTGCTCCATTCATATCCTACGTCCTTCTCTTCAACAACATCCAACGCAATGTCGTCGCTCGGCGAAAAGCAGTATGGCTCGGCAGAGAAGATCGACACCGAGGCCGGTCCTACGCTGGTGATGACCGTGACCGAGCTCAACGAAGGCGCCAAGCAGAGCGCGCAAAAGGAGATCGAGGCATCCATCTGGCAGTCGGTCAAGGCGTGCAAGACGGGTCTCTTCTGGTGCTTTGTCGTCTCGCTCTGTGTCATCATGGAGGGCTACGACCTCAACCTGCTCGGCAACTTTTTCGCCTTTCCGCGCTTCGCGCAAAAGTACGGACACTACGTCGACCAGGAGTCCGGCTACCAGCTCACGCCTGCCTGGCAGGCCGGCCTCAACAACGGTTCCGGTGTCGGCGCTTTCTTCGGCACCTTGCTCAACGGTATTCTCGTCACCCGCTTCGGTCACCGCCGTGTGCTCATCGGCTCACTCATCGCGCTCTCGTGCTTCATCTTCATCACCTTCTTTGCAAAGTCCGTCGTGATGCTCCTCATCGGTCAGCTGCTTTGCGGTCTGCCCTGGGGTGTCTTTGCTACCACCGCGCCCGCTTACGCCTCCGAGGTGCTGCCGCTCAACCTGCGTGTCTACATGACAAGTTGGACCAACATGTGCTTCATCATCGGTCAGCTTATTGCCTCTGGTGTCCTGGCGGGCCTGGTCAACTTTGACAGCGAGTGGGCGTACCGCATTCCGTTTGCCCTGCAGTGGGTGTGGCCTGCGTTCCTCATCCCTCTGCTCTTCTTTGCGCCCGAGTCTCCCTGGCACCTTGTGCGTCAGGGTCGGCCCGAGGAGGCCGAGCGCAGCCTGCGTCGTCTGTACAGCAGCAGCGTCTCGGACCACCACATCAAGGACACCCTGGCGGCCATCACCAAGACCGACGCAATGGAAGAGCAGATGTCCGTCGGCACATCCTACCGCGACTGCTTCAAGGGCTTCGAGCGCCGCCGTACCGAGATCGCCTGCGTCGCCTTTGCCGGTCAGGTGCTGTCGGGATCGTCGTTCGCCTACAACTCGACCTACTTTTTCCAGCAGGTCGGCCTCACCGCCGATCAGACCTACCACCTCAACGTCGGCGGCACGGGCATGGCGCTCGTCGGTACGCTCTGCAGCTGGTTCTTCATCATGCCCTACGTCGGACGCCGACGCATCTACATCTCGGGCATGGCTGCCATGGCTGCCGTGCTCATGATCATCGGCATTCTCAACACGCGCACGAACAACGATTCGGTCGGCATGGCCCAGGCCGTGCTCACGCTCGTATGGACGTTCATCTTCCAGCTCTCCGTCGGCCAGATGGGCTGGAGCGTGCCTGCCGAGGTGGGAAGCACCAGGCTCCGCCAGAAGACCGTCTGCCTGGCGCGCAACGCGTACTACATCGTCTCGGTCATCTCGCAGGTCCTCCAGCCCTACTTTATGAACCCTACTGCCTGGAACCTCAAGGGATACACCGGATTCTTCTGGGCAGGCACCGCACTCATCACGCTCGTCTGGGCCATCTTCCGCCTGCCAGAGACAAAGAATCGCCCGTACGAGGAACTCGACCTGCTCTTTGCCCAGCGCGTCCCTGCCCGCAAGTTCAAGACCACCCAGGTCGACACCACCATGCACAAGTCCGACAACGACCTCCCCGTCCTCGCGCACTAGGCTTGGCATTTCCAACTCGTATCGCCCCTGCTGTATATGTACTCTTTGTCATGGAAAAGGATCTGTGTGCCCGCTTTTCCTGTCCATACTGAAGCGATATGAGCTGTTCGTGTCGCGAGTGGTAGTCACAGTTCATCCGATTTCTTCATACCCAGCCACAGCATGGCACAAGTAGGAAAAAGAACAGCTGCTGTATTCAAAGACAGATGGAGGAGTGTCGCAATGCTATGGACGATAATTCTGAGGGGGCAGCTGCGAGGCGTAGCTTTGCGAGACGATTTGATCGACGGTCTGCAGCGCCGTAGATCGATTCTTGGCCTTCTGCGCTGCGATGCGTGCCATTCCAGCTGCCGCGCCCGCACTAGGCTCCTCTTCCACGCTTCGATTCGAGACCGCCTTGGCCCTCTTGGGAGGCGATGCGCCGTCAGAGTCGATGCCGTTCAAGCTCGCAAAGCCCTCGTAGTCGCGAGAGTGGAAGGCGCCCAGGCTGATCTGTTTTGGATGGGCTGGAAGCAGAGGCTCTGGCGATGCGATCATCAGCGACGAGGGGAGATGCTGAGCGGTGCCCGACGCCTTGGGCCCGTTCCAGACCGTGTGCGACTTGACGGGCGATGAAGAGCCTCGTTGAGGAATCGGGATGCTGGCACGCTCGGGACTGATAGTGCGCAAGGCAGGCTCCTGCTTGGCCAGTCGCAAAGGCTGCGTCAAAGGATAGGGATAGAGACCCTTGGATCCTTCCCTTACGACCGCCTCGGACTCATCGTCTTGCTTATGCGTCGTGGATTGCTCCTTCTTGACGGCGGTGTGGTGCACGGTTCCTTTCCGGCTCAGTCCGCCACGCGTTGAGTCCGTAGTTGCCGTCTTGCTTCTCTGCACAGCTCGCTCGTTGGTGCCCGGTCCCGTACTTTTTGCTGTTTTGGCCCGCTGCAGCTTGGCTCTGGATCCGCCGTCGGATGTTTCAGTGTGCATCGACGGCGTGACGGCACGTATGCTGTGTTCAGCCTCCGGAGATCTGACTGCATCGCTTGGGGTCGAGTAGCAAGCTACGAGATCGCTGTAGTCGGTAAACGAGGGCGAAGCGCCGTGTGTCGGATCTACCACGCCGTCGCTCTCTGCGATCGCTTGATGCAGCAAGAGACTCTTCCGCGGCGCAAGATTGGTCTGGACACCCCTCTTGGTGGATTCGACTGCTGGAGGTGGGCGGGGAGAATCCGAAGTGACCAAGGCCTGAAAAGTGTTCTGGTACTGTTGCTGCTTGTTGACCGGACTCGAGAGGAGGGCTTCGTTCCAAGCCGCCGCCGTCATCTTCCTTCCTGCGCCACCGTTGGCCTCCTGCTGACGAGCGTTCCACGGCTGATTGGTGTTGGTCTTGACATTGAGCACCGTCGAATTTCTCGCCAGTGGCTGATGATGGTACGGGCTCTCGTGGCGCGATGCGCCGCCTCTCGTTGGTGTCCCTGCCTCGCCATACCTGTCCTGATTACGCACGGAGTAAGGCGTATCGCTTTCGCTCATCAGCTCCGACGTCGCACGGTACGGTCGAGCCACAAAGCTCTCCTCGTCGTCGTGATCCTCGACATTGTTGCGCCTGCCTTCAGAGGCACCAAAGTTGGTCATGGCTCTCCAGACCCCGCTGATCCCGAGCCCAAACGCCTTGGGCAAATATCCGCTTCCAATACCGGTTCCCTCGTCGCCAATGGCTGCATAGCCTGCTGTTGGCTTGACAGGAGTATCGTGTTCCGCAGCGGCGGGGTATGACGAGACCTGATCGTACGTCTTGGATCGCGAGCGCAGGCCAAAGTTGAGAACAGCCGGGCGGAAGGGTGACTCCTGAGGCTGAGGCGGGAGCGGCTTCCGCCAGCCTGTTTCGCCTTTCTCGATGAAAGGGTCATCAAGGTCGTCCGTACCGTTCCTGCTCAGACCCGAGTATTGGAATTTGCGCGTGGGCGAAGCGAGGAAGTTCGTCGGCAGGACAGGATCCGGATGATGCAGGTCGACCGTTGCAAACTCTGCCTTGTACTTGAGCTCACCACTTCCGACCGAGAGTGTGGTTGCAGGAGAGTGGAGCGCTTCCTTCTCTGAATTGTTCTGACCGTCTGCGTCGGCTCTGAAGCGATCTCTGCTGAGCGCATGACGCAGACGTCGACCAGCACCGGTGCCAGATCTGGAGGGACCGGCGGTATAACGACTGTCATCGATCACGGCATCCGTCTCGTTCTTGCCGATCCAACGGCGAATCTTGACGGCAAGCCAAGAGTTGCTCTGAAGCTCGGTCTCGTACTTGCGTTCCGACTCCCCTCGCGTGACCGGCGGAGGAGGCTTGGTACCCTCGCCGAGCAAGGCAAGTGATAAGATCTTGAATGTGCCAGGGTACTTCTCGTCGTCGCCATGCCCGCTGTCCGAGTCGCTTCCAAAAGAGCTATCTGCCCTTTCAAGACCGGAGCCTGAGGCCTTGGATCTCTTTGTAGGGGAGTTTGGATCTTTGTAGTGCAAGTCGTGTTCGCCAGGGGGCAGCTCAGCCGGAAGCATGGGCGTCTTGTCGTATCCCCACATGGTCTTGATGCGCTGCATCTCTCGCTTCTTTGCTTGACGCGAGGCTCGCTTGTCAATCTTGGCGCGTCTTGCGGCTTCGACGCGGGAGGCATGATGAATGCGGCCCCACATGCGTCCGCCAACACTGAAAAGAAGAAGCAGACCGACGAAGACCAGAATGGGTGCAAGGTAGACCAGCTTGAATCCACCGCCACCTCCGCCGCTGCTGTGCTTTTCACTCTGGACCGAGGTGGCGCTCGGAGAAGCGCTTGAGGTCGATGTTGAGGACGAAGAGTCGGTGGAGGACAATGAACTGGACATCGAGCTCACTGAAACTGACGACGGCCGAGAAGAAGCTGACGATCTTGAGGGTACTGCTGTCTGTGACGACAAGTCGGTGGCAGAAACTGCATCTTCTGTACTGGTGGGTGCGAGTGCCACTGTTGCAGTAAATACTGGTAGTGTCGGAGTTGCCGCCTGAGTGGCAGCTGGAGGTGTCCACAAGCCGTTGTTGTATGTGACGGCCGGAATCGGCTCGTCCGATGGATCATCTTGAGCGGACGCCAGCTCACCATCCGCATCGAGCTGGCGCTCGAGGATGGGAACGAGCTCCAGAGGGTCCCATGCTGTGTCGTCCGAGGCGAGTTTTGAGCTTGGCTTCGGATACATGGGGGGATTGATGTTGTTTCCGAGCCTCGGCTTTGTATTGGGACCCGGCTGACGCTTTCGCCAAGCCGGGGAAGAACCGGGCCACATTGTCAACCACGGCGTCCTCACGTCGTGTCGGAGAAGCTTGCTACCGACGCTTGGTCGCTGATCGCAAGGTGTGATGGTCGTAGATGAGCTAGCAATGAGGCGGATGTGTGACTGTCGAGACGTGTGAAGTAGATGGTGGAGGAGGAGAAGTCATGAGAGGCTGCAGCTCACGGTGAGGACGATCTTGTCTCAGGCTTGCAGGCGTCTTCTTTGTTCACGACCGGGAAACAACCGTCATCATTTCGCTCAGCAATCAAAGAGCTCAGATTGTTTGTGCGTAGAAGTTTGAGACTAGGAGGCAAGATGATTGGCGTGCGGTGCTGCTGCGTGCTGTACCTCCATCCAGATGATCAGGCACGGTAGACGTACGACGAACAAAGATAGCGTGTTCGGATCTGCACTGCTTGGCAGAGGATGCATTTGGTAGGATCGACAGTGCAGCCAAGTGCAGGGATGCGAGTGCTTGCGATGGCAGTTCACCCAGACGCCAGAAGCACAAAGTGATATGGCCGGCAGGATTGGACAGCTGTCCAAGACTCGAGCAACCTTCCGCGCAGGATCGCGTCAAGACGGTCTAACATCCTTGAATTGAATTTCCCAGTCTTTTGGGGCTGCCTTTTTTTATTCTCTTTTTTCGAGATGTGTAAAATTGTGTGGGACTGGATGGCAACACGAGCGCAGGCTGGTAGCTTATGGAGCATGTTGTTGCCGTCATGAGCCGAGTTCTGATTGCAATTCTATAGTACATGCTCGCGGGGTAACGAGCGATAGCAACGAGTGTGGAGGGCGGCTCGCGTCTACTTGCGTCGCCTGCGGGAGACGACGGTCTCGAAGCCATCCTCATCGACGATGGGCTGTTGTGGTTCGCGAGGCGCCCTGGCCTGCTGATCCAAGGCGGCCTGTGCTCCTGCCCTGTCGGCCTCCATGATGCCGCCCTGGGAGCTGGCCATGCGTTGTGCATCGCGCATCTGTTGGTCCTCGTCATGGTCGTGACCATCGTGCGAGTCGACCTCGGCGTCCTGGTCGGCGCCGTGCTCGAAGTTGGACTTTTTGCCCTTGAGTTCTTGAAAGGCCTTTTCGAGTTCAGCCACGGCCTGCTGTGCGCGAGCGATATCGTTGTCAGGCGAGAAGATGACACGGTGCAGTCCAACGATTCGGCCAGCGACCCAGTCGGGCGAGCCGTCCTCGAGGCGCGCCTCGTATTCGTCGATCATGTAGCCCTCGAGGATGTCGGCGAGGTCGTCGAGATCGGGCTCAAAGGCAGACCCTGGATTGCCGTACTGATCGCAAAGGTGGGAGAGCAGGAAGTCTCGCTTGTCGGCGCTGTCGGAGCCACCCCACTCCTCGGACACGGCTAGACGCATGGCGGGCCAGAGCTCAAAGGTGAGCATGATCGACTTGGCGAAGAGGAGCTGCTGCGGTGACGGCTGCTCATCGGTAGCAGCGCCAGCTGCGGCACTGCCAGATGCGCCCTGCTGATTCGACATGGTGGTCCTGCCGGATTTTCGGTGTGATAGTGAGGCAGGAAGTTGGCAGATGGTCGGTGCTGGAAGCCTCGAAAGGATCGTAGGTCTGCATGGACTTCTTACTTCTCGAAAAAATTCCCGCAGGGAGGCGGTGGCGCGTTCGCCCGAGATCCGACTCCCACTCAATTCTCGGCCGGCTGCCCTTCTCACTCGGTGTTGAGGTGGAGGTGACGCTCTCAAAAAGGGGAGCACCAACCACCTCTGCCGATCTGATAGCCACACCATCACCATCCCCCGCTGCAACGGCATCCATCGCAGCCATGCCCAAGAACGTACTGTCCATACCGTCCAAGCGCACGCCTTCCATATCGGCGCCGCTCACCGCCGTGATCCGCAATTACATCGCCAATAATTACACCGACACCCATCCGGACGCCTTTACCAGTGACATCCGCGACTTTGCACGTCTCCGCGACCAGATCAGCTCAGCCGATCTGCATGTCTCGGCCATTGATACGCTGCTTCAGTATCACGCCCAGCTTGTCTTCTTTGCCACCAAGTTCCCGTCCAACATCAATATCTCGTTCCCCTGGTCGCTCTCCTTCCCGCCGTCGCTTCCGTCATGGACCTCCACCGTCTCTGGTGCCATGGAAGCAACCACCTCCGCCGAGGCTGGACCAGCTTCCGGCATTGCATACACCACCAGCGATACTGTAGCCCATCCCGATCTTGCCTTCGAAAGGGCAAATTTGCTCCTCGCGCTCGCGGCTCTGTACTCGGCCCNCCAGCGATACTGTAGCCCATCCCGATCTTGCCTTCGAAAGGGCAAATTTGCTCCTCGCGCTCGCGGCTCTGTACTCGGCCCTCGGCAGTGCTGAATCCAGATCGGAAAAGGAGAGCATCAAGCGCGCCACTGCCTGGTTCCAAAATGCTGCAGGCGTGCTCCAGTACATCATCGACAATCTCGTCGAGCCTACCGCCCATCTCACGCCTCCCTCTGCCGATCTGCATCCCCGCCTGCTCAGCTGCCTCAAGGATCTCATGCTGGCCCAGGCGCAGGAATGCTTCTGGCAGAAGGCGGTCGTCGATCGGCTCAAAGACGCGACCATCGCAAAGCTTGCAGAAAAAGTCGCTGACTTCTACGCATCCGCTTTGCAAGCTGTGTCCGAGTCCACTGCCAAAGATGCGAGCCACAAGAATGCACACATCGACACCGGCAAGCTCACCTTGCCGTCCGGATGGGAGAATCACCTTGCTGTCAAGCGCTGGCATTTTGCAGCTGCTGCGCAGTATCGCAAGGCCTGCGACGACCTCGGCGCAAACCGCTACGGCGACGAGCTCGGTCGTCTTCATCTCGCAGAACAACACGTCAAGAAGGCGCTCGATTCAGCTAAACGCGGTGTCAGCGACGCCATCACCAGCGACCTCAAGAGCTTGCAGGGCATTCTTCAATCCAACATCGCGCGTGCATCGCGCGACAACGACCTCATCTACCTCGAGGCCGTCACGCCCGCGTCTCAGCTTGCACCCATCCAACCAGCCGCAATGGTCAAGCCTGTCACGCCCGTCGAGCTGGCGCAACCCATCGCCCACCTGCGCGATGCACCTCCGCCAGCATTCGGCAAGCCACTCTTCGCAGAGCTGGTGCCGTACGGCGTACACCTCGCCATCAGCATCTACGACGATCGCAAGGACTCGCTGTTGAGAGATGAGCTCGCCTCGCGCAGAGACGAGTTGGATGCCTTGGCGACCAGCACGTTGCAAAGTCTCAACTTGCCCGGCTCACTTCAAGCGCTCGAACAGCCCATGGGATTGCCACCTTCGCTTCTCAGAAAGCACGAAGAGGTCGTGTCGCAGGGCGGCCTGGAGCGGCTCCAGCGCATCGCTCACGACGTCGAACGTATCGCTGCGACCGTTCGAGACACGCTCGCCGAAGCGCTTGCACTCATCGAGCACGAGGAGCGCGAAGACGAGTCGGTCCGAGCTTCGTTCTCGTCCCAGGGCTGGGCGAGGCCGCCTAGCAGCCAAGTCAACACCGAGCTCAAGAGTCAGGCTGCAGAGTACCACGAAACGCTGATCAAGGCCGCGGCGTCGGACGACATTGTTCGGCGCAAGCTCGACGACTGGGAGGACCTCATCGGTGTGCTCAGCGGCAATGTCGATGGTCTCGAGGCGTTTGTGCCTTCGTCTAATCCCATGGCGTCGTCCGGTGGGGCCGGAGGTGGCCGTACGTCCGAGCAGCAGGTGCAGGCGGTGCGTGCGCTGCGCGAGAGGCTGGAGCATCTGGATGACCTGCTCGACTCGCGCTCCGCATGTGTGACGGAAGCAAAGACGCTTGCGGCTGCCGACGACATCCGGCCCATGGTGATGCGCGACGCCGCGACGCTCTCGACCAGCTCTCCCGCCAGCGGAGGCGAAATCGCGGCGGCTGACTTTGAAGAGCTGTTTGACCGCGAGCTGGCCAAGTATACGCATTTCAAGGAGGACCTGGACGCCTCTGAAAGGGCCCAGGTCGAGCTGCTGGAGCAGGTCAAGCAACGCAACACGGCCTTTGTCGAGGCGCGCAGGAGCGATGCAACGATCCAGCGCCGCGAAAAGGCCCTGCAAAACCTCGATGCAGCTTACATCAAGTACCGCGAACTCTCCAGCAACTTGATCGAGGGTCTCGAGTTCTACAATGGGCTCGCCAAGATCCTCAGCGCGTACAGAGATAGCGTCAAGGAGTGGGCAAGAACAAGGCAGGTGGATCTGCACTGGCTGATTCACCAAATGGGCCGTTCCAGCATCGAAGACCATCAGGCCCCACAGCAGCAGCCACAGCAGCAGCCACAGCAGCCCGCAATTCAGCCTCCAGAGTCGCCGCAGGCTCGGTCCAACTTTGAGGCGGATGCTGCACCGTCGGCGCCGAAACCGCGTCAGACTCGCTCGAAAGCTCGCGCTGCCGCCAACGAGGCTGCTCAATCCAACCCGCCGCCTCCGCAGTGGGGAGCGCTGCCGCCGGGCGCCAAGATCCAGTTCAAGGACTGAGATGCTGGGATGACGAGGCGAGTTTGCGGAAGAGCAGAAAAAAGACAGGTTGAAATGCAGAATTGTCCGTGGTCGCATCGACCAAATACAGGGGTGGCTTGGATGTGTTTGTGTGTGTGTGCCGGGAGGGGATGGAGAAGACGAGCGCGAGAGACCTGGTGGCTTAGAGCCACGAGGTAGCGAGCGCAATGAAGGTGAGAGCGAGTCCGACGCTCGAGGCTGGCGAAAGCGCACGTGGCGCGGCGCTTGTGCTTTGGCTAGAGGAGCCCGAGCCCGACTTTGTGGCGTTTCCTATGGGCTTGGCGACGTAGCTGACGCCGTTCATGGCAGCAGCGGCCTGGAAGACGCTGCCGTCGCCCTGGTCGTAAAAGTCGGTGAGCACAAAGGTCGGGTAGCCCTGGCCGTGCATGGCGGCGCAGTTGTTGGCGTCGGACATGATGGAGCTGTAGCTATTGGTGGTGGTGATCTGCGCCGTGTTAGGCACGAGCACGGTGGTGCCGAACAGCGAGAAGGACGAGTCGAGGTAGTGGTTGACGAGGTACATGAGGTTGCTTGGCGAGCTGCCCGAGTTGATGCGGTCGACCGTGCAGTTAAACGGAGTGGCCGTCTGGTCGTACGCGTTCTCCCACGTGTTTTGGAAGTGCGGCAGGATGTAGGGGACGGACGAGGTGTCGGCCGAGTTGTCCATGAACACCACCACCGTCTTGCCTGCATCGATGAGCGAGCCGAGCGAGGGCCACGCGTCCCTGGCGAGCGCGGCGCTGCTCGGAGCGTACGCCTTGGAGGCGAGGCCAGTGGACTGGAAGGCGGTGGCGAACGATGACGCGGCCTGGTCGTCCGAGTTGACGATGAGCAGCGTGACCACGTCGTTCGGGTTGCTGTCCACCCACGTCTTGACCTTGGTCAGGTACGCCTCGAGCGTGCCGCCGTTTTCGAGCGAGCACCTGTTTGATGCAAAAAATGGAAGTCAGAGCTGATTCATATGAGCTTCGGTGGGCGCATCTGTCCAATTTGGCGGCGCCGACGTTGGTGGGATAGGGGACACTTACGAGGAGTGGCAGAGGTCGATGCCGGATCCGGAGGTGGAGTTGGACGACTTGTGAGCCTGCACCTGGAGAAGCCTGATGCCGTCGTTGAGCTGCTGGCTGACGGACTGCTCCTGGTTCTTGCCCACCGTGGCTCCCGCGAGGGTGCCGACGGCGTAGCTGTTGTGCGCACCGATGTAGGTGACGTTGGAGTAGAGACGGCTGCAGAGCGAGGCGTCTCCGTTGCAAACGCTCGCGCGCTTTGCCAGTTCAGGGAGGGCGCTGCGCTGCGAGGACTGAGGCAGTGCACCGGCGAGTTGGGCGACGAAGGCCAGAGCCACAGCGGCGCTGAGCAGCTTGTTGAGTTGGAACATGGCTGATGAAGGAGAGAGTGTAGTGAAAATCGACGCCGGCGCCGTCTTTATGGGAGAAAGTAAGAACAATGGAGTTGCGAACACTGCAGTGAACCAGTCACCTGTGGGTGTCAAGAAGAGAGCGGGTGGCGAACCAAGAAGAGATGGTGGTGGTGGTGGCGGCGGCGGAGAGGGTGGATGTGCCGTTGACTTTGAGAGACGAGACGGCGACCAACGAGTGACGGAAGGCTGGAGCCGAAAGAGGAAGGTATGTGACAAGACTCTACGAAGGTCAAAGCTGTCGGAGGGGCGGGATTGCCGTTAGAGAGCGAGGGGGCGTTCGGGGATGGATGACGAGGGGTTGAAGGAGGAGAGCAATCGATATGTCTCAAGGGCAGGAAGGGAGCTTAGCGAGCAGGCCGGCGTGAGGGTGCTGGCGAGCGCTTCTTGGCTCTTCTGCTTTGCTCTCATGCACCTCCTTGTGGCTCGGCTCAGCATCGCGCTCATCCTGCTGCAGTCTACTTTGCAGCACATCGAGAGGCGTGGGTACGATTCGGCTGTTCCGGCATGCCGTGCTGTCGGAAAGGCCGACCTTGCGGACTGCTTACTGACTGTATGCTCAAGGCGCGCGGGGCGGTGCTGTCTCGGCGCCAAGGGTCCGATTCGTCTCTCTGGCTGCAAATCGCTCGGCACGATGCCGCGCGGAATGCCAAGTCAGCAGATTCCAGGGTTGCCCCCGGTCGGAGTTGGGCCAAAACCTTCCGAGGTTTGGCTGGTGTTGTTGTTCGTCGCGCGCGCGAGACATAACAAAAAAACAAGTGCAAAAAATACAATTGATGCGTGCAGAACGCAAACTCGACTTGCTGTGCCAGTTCACCGGGGTGCCGGATCTGCGCCAACTTTGCCGAGCCACCTTCACAGTTCTTCAGTTCGAGCGTGCTCAGATCCTCACAGCCTCCTCAGGGTCTGCCTTCAGCAAAAGTCGCCGAGAACCACGCGTTGACGCACGGATCCAGCCAGCTACGCTTTCCGCCATGCAGGCACTGAAACCATCAACCATGCTCAACACTCAACACTCAACTCTCAACACTCAACCTTATTTCAGAATTTCTTCCTTCGACGAGCGTTTCGAGCGTCTCAACAGGCATTCAGGGTTGGAGGAAATGGTCAATTCGAAATTGCGAAACATGCGGCGAGTGCGAATGCGAGTGCGGAAGTGAGTGCGGTTGCGGAATTTGTTGATGCAGCGAAGAGATTGTGTCACGAGACGGATCGGAAAGGCCAACTTCGAACGACGAGACAAGGGAGGCGAGCGCTCAGGCCGTCTCAATGGCAATCTGGCGCGTCTTTGAGTGCTCCTCCTTCTTCTTGGGGATCTCGAGACGCAGCAGGCCGTCGTTGAAGCGGGCCTTGAGCGAAGAGTCGTTGGCAAGGTCGGCGGTGACGGGCAGCGTGAACGAACGGCTGAACGAGCCGTAGACGCGTTCCGAGACGAGTGCGTGGCCGACGGCGTTGTTCGTCTGCTCCTTCTTGGTCACCTGGGTCGAGGAGGCGCCCTTGTCACCAGCGTTGGCGTGCTCCTTGCCGTTGGCAGCGTCTTCGTTGGCAGCGGCAGGCTGCGAGCTGTATTCGCTCTTCAGATGACCCTCCAGGGTGAGCCTGCGTCGGTCGGCATCGACGTTGATCTTGACGTCCTCCTTCTTGACGCCCGGAAGCTCGGCGGTCAGCACAAACTTGGTGTCCTCCTCGTGCAGATCCACCTTGGGGCCCGACCAGATGCGGTAGTCGCCCGCCGTCACGTTGGGTCGGCCGGCAGCTGCGGCTGCAAACGGATTCATGAGCATCAGATCGCGCAGCGACGACGACGGGAACATGTCAAAGTCGTCCAGCGGCGAAGAGAAGAAGCTCGAAGGGCGAAGGAGAGACATGGCGGGACGAGCGGTGCTGAAGCTGCGTGCGGTGGGAACGGTAAGGCTGTTGGTGCGGGCGCTGACGAGAGGCGAGATGCTAGAAGAGGAGCGGGTAGCAGAGCCGTTGCGAGTGATAGCAGCGATCCTGGAGCTGGGGAGGGGGAGTCGAAGGGCTTGGCGCATCAAAAGTGGCTAGCAGTTGAGTTGGGAATGGCGAGAGGTGAAGTCGCGAGATAGCTGTGCTTTGAGTAGAGTGTTGTGTCGATAGTCGATGCTTGCTGAAGCTTGATGGAGGGTCAGGCGGTGGATCGAGATGGTGCTCTTCTTATACCTTTCAAGCTGCGAGCGCCTGCTCTTCGGGATCGTTGAGGGCTCCCCTGCGAAGATGCGGCGGGCGGTCGACGAGCCCGGAGAGTCACAGTCACGCTCAGCTGGCTCCATTTCGCATTGCGAGAGCCAGTTGGACGCTTCCAGTCGAGTCCCGAAGCTACGAACCCACGGGCGTGGGAAAGCATGACCAGCTGGTGGTGGCTGCGGACGGACCTTCCGACCGCTCCCTTCGGACTGGCCCGCAGCACCTCGACGGAAGGGTCTCGATCTTTCTCTGACTTTGCATCGCTGACGTGGAAGCACTCTTGACTGTGACGGTCGTCAGCTCGTGACTGAGCATCCACTCTGCACACCTCGCGCGCTGTCAAAGACCGCGCTCGAGCTGAGCGGAAGCGCCCCGCTTCCGCCATGTGACGGAATGAAATGAAGCGGGTGCTGCTGCACGCAGCTGCACGTAGGGTCCACACGCCTCCACAAACCTGTCGAATTTTCTCGTGCTTTCGAGACGCGTCAAGTGCCTGCCCTCCGTGCCCGCCTTCCGCCTTCCGTGTTTCCATTCAGCCCTCCGCCTGGAGCGGCTGCAACCGATGCTCGAGGTTGAGCGACTCGCCGCTTCCGCTAGGCCCGCCCTTGCAACAGGCAGGCAATAAGCTCTGTCGAGTATCTGTGCAGCTGCGACTTTTGTCATTCTTGCATTGCACTCGAAGCCTCTACAGCTCCGTGGAAGGCTCCGAGAGAGAGAGCGAGGGTGCTGATTCAGTCTAGCGAGGCTCGGATGCCGAGAAATGCGATCGAAGCGGGCCTTGTATCCGCAAAGGGTGCGGAAGGGCAGCGACGCCTCAACTCTGCCCGCTTGTACTGGAAGAATCGAGACCAGAAAGGTCGTCAAAGTAGCCCGAGCTGTCGATGGAATCGTGGCAGTGCGCGCAGAACCGCTGCTGCGCGGGCATCGAGCGGTGCGCCGCCGCACACGCGCTGCAGAAGAGGCCGCCGCAGCCTGCGCAGTGCCGGCGTCCGTCCAGCATGCCGAAGCGTCGTCGGCAGCTCGCGTTCATGCAGTGCGACGCCACAGAGTCCGGCACCGGCACGCCTTCGCCCATCAGCGTCCACTGGTACAGCCGGCCGTGCTCGTCGCCTGTCAGCACCATCTTCGGCGTCGTGGCGATGGCCGTGATGAGAGGCGGCCGACCGCGCGNCTGGTACAGCCGGCCGTGCTCGTCGCCTGTCAGCACCATCTTCGGCGTCGTGGCGATGGCCGTGATGAGAGGCGGCCGACCGCGCGTCGCTCCGCTGCTTCCTGCCCTAGCTGCACCGACCGCTTCGCCGCCTCCCTCCGCGCCTCCGAGTCGATCGTGATGCTCAAAGATGTGCAGCGCCGCCAGTCGCCACACCGGCTCGGCGGTCGAGGTCGAGGCGAGGCCATGATGCGCGCTGTTCGTACTGCCTTCCGACACCATGCGGCGTTGTTGCCTCGACCGCAGCGGATGGCCTGCACCGGAGACAGATCGTTTGGAACCGGCAGACGATTCGGCAGCAGCGGCGGTAGCATGCACCGGGACCGCCTCCCAGGCGATCACTTTGCCGCGGTGACCTGTCAGAACCACCGCCAGACGTCCGACGTGGTAGTCCCGCTCCAGGAAGCTCAGGCTCGAGATCGGCTCGGACAGGTTGGCGCTTGTCGCCAGGCATGCTAGCAGCTCGCCATTCACCGACCACAGCCGCACCTCCGGGCCGCACGCCGTGACCAGATGGCACGTCTTCTCGTCGATCGCCACCAGATGCACGCTCGAATCATGCCCGCGCAGCGTCCGCACGTATGCGCCTCGATTGAGGTCCCAAACGATCGCCGTGCCGTCCTTGGAGCCAGTCAGAACGACGCTCCAAGACGCGGAGGCTGCCACGCACAGCACCGCGTCGTCGTGCCCGCGCAGCAGCCTCGACAGCGTCACTTCGCGCTTGGCGCCATCGAGCTCCCAGATGCTGACCATGCCGTCTGAGCTTCCAGCTACGATCGACTTGGCACGCGCCTGGGCGATGCACGTGACCCGGTCCGGAACCATCTGCTCCACCACGGCCAGCGGACGCCTGGCATCGCGTGAGCTGTACATGCGCAGGCTGCCGTCCAGGTGGTCCGTCGAGAGCGAGACGCCCAGCTTGGGCAGGATGAGGTAGTCTCTGGGCGAGGCAAACGCTCGCTCCGGATGGAGCGGATAGATAAAGTGCACCGCATTCTTGAGCGTCCGCACGGGCGCGATACCCTGGACCACGAGACGTGGATGCTCCAGCAGCCCAAAACGGTCGCTGGCAGGCAGCGTCGGACACATTCGGCGTTTGCGCTGCGGATGCGGATGGTGGAAGAGCTTCGACGGCGTTTGGCCAAAATTGTGGATCACCTGCGCCGCCGCTTGCCGCTCCATGGTCGATTCGATCGCGTCCAGGTCGACCGCATCCTCGTAGCTGAGCGGATGGAACACGTTGGTGCTTTCGACAGCTTCCTGACCCCTCGATCGATAGCCAAAGATCAAGTCGATCCAGTGATGCAGGCGTTGCGACACATATTCGGACTCGAGCGCCTCGCGATGCTTGAGCACAAACAGTCTCGGATCCTGCTTAGCCCACGGAGGCAGCTCAACGTCGTCGATCACCTCGCCCGCCTGCGTGATGCCAAAGTCGAACCGGTTCGTGTTGCTGAGGAACTCGGGCAGGTAGAAGAATTCAGGCAGCAGCTCGCGCACGTCGCCTCGCGACAATTCGGAGGCCGACATCCACGCTTTGCCCACCGAACCAAATGTACGATCGGCAAGGTCGAAGTTGCCGCCTTGCAATGCCATCAGCAGGCGCTCGAAGGGCCGCGTGCGGATCAAGAAGCCGCACACGGTCGACGCTGTAGAGTAGTGCGTGCCGTAATGGAACGGGTCCATATCGACCTCCTGAAGCTGCACGTAACGATCCTCGAATTCTTTACGCCGAATGGGCGTTTGGGCTCCCATGGGCAGCTCGAGCTTTCGGAAGGTCGCCGGGTCAGTCAGATCCAGCTCCTCGCTGGTATAATCGGCCAGCACCCAAGGGAAGCAAGGGAACTGCGTCAGGTCGTTCATCGAGCGCCCAGCAAGCGTGTTGAGCGCCATCAGGTAGGCAAAGTTGCTCAGCCGGCCGTCTCGCCACGCCGTGGTCATGGCGCCCCAGCTTGAAGAGCGTCCCAGCACTGCGCCCGCAAGCCTGGATCCAAAGCCAGACCCGGACGCAGCTGACGACGAAGACGAAGAGGCGCCTCCTGTCACTCGTTCGCGGATGGCTTCGCGCATGGCATCAGCCGATGACACTGCGGACGGAGCGCGGATCTGCAGCTCTCGATGCATCTTCTGCGCGGTGGCCGTTTCCGGACAGACCAACAGGCAGCTCTGTCCGTCTTCGAAGAAGATTTCCACCGCAGTTCGCCGGTGAAGCCACGAGCGGCGATGGCAGATCTGCACCGAAGTCCACGCCCATTTGCGCGTCTGAGCCTCACCTTCGAGGTCGCGGATGAGGTCCGACGGTTTGGATGCATCGCCGGCCAGCGTCGCCATGACGAGCGTGTCGCGCTCCTCGGCGGGTGCTTCCCAAACGTTGATGAGCTCTCCGTTCGGGCGTTGGAAATAGTCATCCATCAGGTACACGCAAAGCTTGCCGAGGATGAGCAGGCAGCCTCGCGACTCTATGCCGACAACGCGCGAGGTGTTAAAAACGGCTTCAATCACGTCGCCGCGCTCGAGGGATCGCAGGACTCGCCGGTACTTGTCCTCGTGGAACGACTCGCCCAAGGCATCGGCAGCGCCCGAATTGGCAACGTCAGGCAGCTCCAAGGCCGCATCGGGTGCTTGAGCATCTGCTGCACGAGTCGACGCCTCTGATGCGGGCGGAACGACGAGAGCGTCGTCCATCGACGCCTCTGCACCGTGCCACGACCCCCCATTCGCAGCATCTCCGGATGGTGAAGCCATTGCCGGCTCGAGAGTCGCCTCGCTCATCTGAGGCGCCATGTCGGTGTTCCGAAGCATCCCTGGATCGAGTCGTTGAAGCTTGAGTCGGATCCGATCGGGGCCCTCGGTTGGATCGAGTCGCCAGATCGGCTTTGCGCTCTGACTACTGCTTGCATCCAGCAACGCGCGTTCCCTCGTGAGACTCAACTGTAGCTCGCGCCATTGCATGCCGGCAAACGACTGCATCTCGCGAAGATCATTGACGAACTTGGCTTTACGCACGTTTTCCGCCTCGACAAGGCTAGAGTGCCAGGCGATCATGCGATTTTCGGTGCTCGTCACCAGCAGCTCTCGGTTGTCGACGCGGCGGAGTGAATCGTGCAGCTGCTGGAGCCTTTCCATGTGTGCTGCCGCCCGCAGCGTTTCTCGACTTTTCGAGAAGCTGTTCCAAGCTGCCTCGTAGGGCAGCGGACTTGGTGGAGCGGCATTCTCGGTGCCGTCGTTGTCGATAGCGCTCCTTTGCTGAGATTCGTTGAAAGCTGCGAGCGGTGCGCCCTCTACGGCTGCAGGTCTCGCCAAGGCCACGAGATTGAAGAGGGTGAACGCCTTGATGTACGGATTCTGAGCGTCGTCAACACCCGGCGCCTCGCGCAAGACGTGCAGAAGGTGATTGACCAGACACTCGAAGAAGGTTGAGTCCTGGTTCGCGGGATGCAAAACGACCTCGTGGTTCTGCAGGATTCCATCCAAAGTCCTTGCATCGGTTTGGCAGGCTGCAATTCGCAGCAGGATGATGCGATTGAGGCTCATGTAGAGCGTGGCTGCGGCCCGCGTATCCATCTTTGCGCCAATGCTATCGCTCGAAAGCGGCAGAACGCGGAGCAAGGCCAGTGCTGCCTGGTAGAGCTGCTCTTCCAGTTCAACCTGACCAGACAAGATCTCGTCTGAGGCTGTCTCGATGAACAGAGCGATGGTCTCAGCCGAGGCCAGCGCCTGGCGAGGCTGGCTCGCAATCACAAGGCGGATCCTGCGGGTCGTTTCGGCCAGCAGTGCACAACGGAACACGGTCTGCTGCGCGAGATCGGTGGGCGGCAGCGCCTGGTCGATCGCCGAGAGGATGGCGACGGAGCCCGTCGAAAGCAGTGAGTCGGCCGCCAGCTGCGCCACGAGAGCGAGCAACGCGTCCGCCATTTCCACCACGTCAGCAGTTGCGGCATCCAGACCTCCCATCCGTGATCGAGTCCCTGCGTTGCCTTTGCCCTCTGTGGCCAGGGTCTTGGCCACCAAACTCTGGTCCGCGTCAGCTGCCAAGGTGTTGCTCCTGATGTAAGGAAAGATGCAGTCCACCAGCCCGCGGAGGATGATGGGCGAGAAGATTAGTTCCCTGAGCTCTGGAGAGTGCCGGCCATACGCCTGCAAGAGCTCGATCGTTTCAATGAGCACGGTGACCT